GGGATATATCGGTCCACGTTTAGACATAGCTCCCATATAAGGGTACACCCAAATTTTCGGAATTTTGGGGTTCTTGAGCGCGTTTTTCAACCGAATTCGCTGAAATTTGGTACATTGGGTTCTTATTGGGTACTAAATATCGCCACAAAAAATTATAAATATAGGTCCACTTTTTCTGGTAGCCCCCATATAACTCCACTAAAAATTAAATATATAAGTCAATTTTTTTCTGTTAGCCCCCATATAAAGGTACCTCCAAATTTCGGCATTTGGAGGTTCTTGAGCGCGTTTTTCAACCGAAATCACTGAAATTTGGTATTTTGTAGCCGTATATGGAAACAAATCTCCCTACTAAAAATTATTTATAGTCAACCCCTTTTAGGCGTAGTCCCCATATAACCCCATTTTTATATTAATATAATTATCTGTTTTTTCCGCGTTTTGGGTTTGGTTCTAACACTCTGTTGTAATCATTTCACCTGCGAAGGATATCGAGATAAAAGCCCCTGTGTGGGTGGTACCAGAAGGAGTGGACCGATGTTCCCCATCTTCGAACTTGAACTAAGTTTGGAAGATGGCCAAAGTTTGGATAAAATCGAAATTTTCTGAAACAAATTTGATCCAAAGAAACATGGATCTAGAACCGTTTTAACCGCGTCAAAGTGTATATGCCCTCATTATACATAAATCTGAGAGAATAATTGTCCATTAAAAATTTCTGAAATTTGTTTTATAGTTTACATTGTGTTTTATATAACCGGTTTGTGGAAATGTCGATATAGGTCCACTTTTTGGTATTTTCCCTATATTTTTATTTCAAGTACCAGTCAGTACATCTATGGTGGAGGGTATCCAAAGTTCGGCTTGGCCGAACTTAACGCTTTTTCACTTGTTAATGGTAATTTTTCCTAAAATCTGAAAGCCGCAAAACGTGGACCGATATTGATAATGCATGTTAGAGTGGCAAATGCCTATAAAATCCTCAAACTACTGCAATTTACAGTGTAAAGTTGTATGATTTACAAGTTCGAACTCAATATTTTAGTTTTGTATATACATAAATACTTTCCTTCATGAGGTATCATTATATTGGGAAATGCCGAAATGCTGGCCGATATGTTTCATCATCGTCAGGTTCCAGTTTTTTCACGTTATCCTTAGAAGGCGGAATAATTACAACAGATTGCAAAATCGTCTCAGAATTCTATCAAAGACATAGAAATCATAAAGACTCGTCAAAATGCATTTTGACAAAATAGGTTATGAAAAAATGTCCAGGGGGTATCAGGCATAACAGAGGCATGTTAAGAATAAAAAAAACGCCAATACGCGAAAATGTGTGTACAAAATGTAAATAAAATCAGAGATCTGCACATAATATATATTTTTAATTTATAAGCTTGCGATATAGCACTTAAAACGTTTAATAGTGTTCGCTCTGTTGTTATGATATCGTAATAACAGTGGAAAAGCCGTCTATAAAATTGTTGACGTATCGATTGCCCTATCTTTATACTTTTATGTCTCTGATTCTATACTTTGTAGGGTTAAAACTGACAATTTCGAGTAACGAATATCCCCATACTATAGTAGACAACCTTAACACACGGAAAAAATTAGACAACTATTTCAATACTATTATATGTATTGAAATAGTTGTCTAATTTTAATTACTCTCCATACTATGGTGCAGGGTAATAAAAAGGGGGACTACCCCTAGAAGGGGGCGAATATTATTGTTGTTACCATATATGACTAAAAATACCAAAATCGCGCTGAAGAACCCGAAAAAATGGGACTATATTTGTATTTTTTTGTGGAGAGTTTTGCTACAGCCATCTTAGTCGAAAAATTTGCTCAAAGCCACCAAAATAATGAAAATTGGGGGTACCGCTATGTGGGGGCTACCAGAAAAAGTGGACCAATATTTATAAGTTTTATTGGGGAAATTAAGTACCCAATATGAACCCAATGAACCAAATTTCAGCGAATTCGGTGGGAAAAGGCGCTCAAAAACGCCAAAATACCCAAAATTTATGATTACCCTTATATGGGGTCTACTCGAAAAAATTGAAATATATTCATAATTTTTAGAGGAGAAATTTGCTACCCAGAAACAACTCAAAGCAATAAATTACAGCCAATTCGGTGAGAAATACGACCAAAACCCCAAAAATACTGAAAATTAGAGTGTACCGTAATATGGGGGCTACCAGAAAAAGGGGAACCATTTTTATACCCTCCACCATAGTATGGAGGGTATATTAATTTTGTTTTTCAGTTTGTAACTCATCGTAATAATCATTTCCGACCCTATAAAGTATATATATTCTTGATCAGCGTAAAATTCTATGACGATATAGCCATGTCCGTCTGTCTGTTGTAATCACTCTAGCGTCTAAACGAGTTGAGATAGATCGCCAAAATTTTGCACAGTGTCGTCTTTAGTCTGCAGGCAGGTCAAGTTCGAAGATGGGATATATCGGTCCACGTTTAGGCATAGCTCCCATATAAGGGTGCCACCCAATTTTCCGTATTTTGGGGTTCTTGAGCGCGTTTTTCAACAGAATTCGCTGAAATTGGTATATTGAGTTGCTATTGGGTACTCAATCTCTCCACCAAAAATTGTACATATAGGTCCATTTTTTCTGGTAGCCCCCATATAACAATACCCTCAAATTTTCAGTATTTTGGGGGTTTTGATCGTAGTTTTCAACCGAATTGGCTGTAATTTAGTACTTTGAGTTCTTATTGGGTAGCAAATCTCTCCAATAAAAATTATAAATATAGGTCCATTTTTTCTGGCAGCCCCCATATAAGGGTACCCCCCAAATGTCGGTATTTTCGGGTTCTTGAGCGCGTTTTTCAGCCGAATGCGCTGAAATTTGGTACATTTGGTTCTTATTGGGTGCTAAATATCTCCACCAAAAATTATAAATATAGGTCCATTTTTTCTGGTAGTGTCGTCGGTATTTTGGGGTTCTTGAGCACGTTTTTCAACCGAATACGCTGAAATTTGGTATTTTGTAGTCGTATATGGTAACAAATTTCCCTACAAAAAATTATTAACATGCACCCCCTTTTTGGGGCAGTCCCCATATAACCCCCCATATAATCCCATATAATCGAGAAAAAAACTAGATCGTAAGGTTCGATAGTGAACTATTTATGAACTATTACCCGTATTTAGACCTAGCCCCTGTGTGGGAGGTACCAGAAGGAGTGGACCGATATTCCCCATCTTCGAACTTGAACTAAGTTTGGAAGAAATAATAAGATGGCCAAAGTTTGGATGAAATCAAAATTTTCTGGAACAAATTGGGTCCAAAGAAACATGGGGTCTAGAACCATTTTAACCGTGTCAAAGTGTATACACCCTAATTATCCATAAAGCTGAGGGTATAATTGTCCATTAGAAATTTCTGAAATTTGTTTTATAGTTTACATTGTGGTTTACATAACCGGTTTATGGATATGTCGATATAGGTCCACTTTTTGGTATTTTCCCTATATTTTCATTTCAAGCACCTGTCAGTATATCTATGGTGGAGGGTATCCAAAGTTCGGCTTGGCCGAACTTAACGCTTTTTCACTTGTTATAATTTTTGTGGAGAAATTTAGTTACCAATAAGAACCCAATTTACCGATTTTCAGCTAATTCGGTTGGAAAACGCGCTAAAGACCTCCAAAATACCGAAAATTGGGGGTTACCCTTAAATGGAGGCTATCCGAAAAAATTTACCTATATTCATAATTTGTTTGTGAAGAGATTTGGTACCTATTAAAAACTCAAAATACTAAATTACAGCCAATTCGGTGAAAAAATACGATCAAAACCCCAAAAATACTGAAAATTAGGAGGTACCGTTATATGGGGGCTACCAGAAAAAGTTCGCCTATATAAATAATTTTTATTGGAAAAAATTTTTACCCCATAATAACCCCATGTACCGAATTTGGTTGCAAATGCGCTCATGGACCCCAAAATACCGAAAATTGGGGGTTACCCTTATATGGCAGCTATGCCTAAACGTATACCGATAGAGCTCATCTTCGAACTTGACCAGCCTGCTGACAAAAGACTCTATGCAAAATTTTGGCGATCTATCTAAATTCCTTCAGAAATTGCCATTACAACAGACGGACGAACAGGGTAAAATTCTAGATCGTCTTAGAATTTTACCCTGATCAAGAATATATATATATATATATTAGAGGGTCGGGAATGAATATTTCGATGAGCTACAAACGGAATGACAAAATTTTTTTGCGACATATATATTCTCCCTACGGAATTACACACAGGTTTTATTACATTTTTTGGGAGGTACCAAATGGAGGGGTACGATGGTTCCCATTTTCGGACTTTATATTGGTTTGGTAAAAGTATTACAATTTGCAAAGCTTAGATCAAATCGAACATTCAATTCGCTTGATATTGGTTTAGTTCAAATCGATTTGTACGTTCGCTTGATATTATAACATAATTTTTCAGCTAAAATTTCACCATTTGTTGGGGGAGTTACCAGAAGTAGGGGATTTATTTTCTCCATCATTGAAATTGATCTATTTTTGAAGGAAATATTACAATGTTCAAAGTTTGAATTAAGCCGGCCGGTAGGTAGAAACATGTGCCTAAACCCATAAAAATATTATGTGCTACCGTTATATGGGGCTACCATGAAACATGGGCCAGCATTGATAATTTGTTCTGAGCAGCCAAAGTGAATCCAAAATACCAATGCGGGCTACCTTAAAAACTGGAAAAATATTGATCATTTTCAGTAGGAAGATTTTATACCCAATGAGAACTAAACGTAGAAGATCTTAGCTATTTAGGTTGAAAAACGGGATAAAATCCCCATAGTACCGAATATTAGGGTTTGATTACCATTATATGGGGTTATACCAAAACGTGAACCGATATACCCCATTTGTAATACCAACCATCCTAGGAGAAATAGCAATGTCAGTGCATTATTAAAAATTCTCATACATACCTGCAATAATGGCCCCCGATGATAACCATATTAAGGCTGTAACAGCTGCCGATTGTGGAAATTTATTGCAAATAACTTTTTTGTCCGTCCACGATTCACCCAATTTATAGACATAGACAATATTGTCACTTTGACCTACGGCCAATTTTGTCGAATCGGGACTGAATGCCAGTCCACGTACCACATACGATTGTTTGCCATTGGCCGGATTAGAAGGTTTGGTCGAGAATTTATCACGTCGTTCACCGGCGTCGTCGTACAATAGAATATGGCGATCAGCCGTGGCCACAGCTAACTTTTTGTGATTTGGTGACCAGGCAAGGCCAGCAATGCGATTTATGTGGTCCTAAAGTTGAAATATATTGTAAATCTTTTTTTATTATCAATTGAAAATTGTATAACATACCTGACCCTCTAGTATGGTTTTAAGATATTTTAGTTGCATGTTTTATTATGTTTCCTTTTATTTTATATTTTTTTTTCTTTTCTTTTCACCAGATAGAAATGCGAATGACGAAAATTGTAAGAAAGGACACCGTTGTCCTGTAGAAAGTTGACTAACTGTCATTTTTAAGTTACCATGGCAATACCAACCACCCTGGATAGTGACACCTGTTCCATTAACTAAACCAAGGGTTGTTGTTGGTATATTATTTGTAAACAACAATTGTGTCTTTGCTGAATTTTTGTAGCCACTTGCGTTATTCGATTTTTTTACGAAAGCTACAAAATAAACAATATCGACAAGTGCTTTTGAAATTCAACAAGTTGACGTCTATGATAATTACACTGTGCAACACAAAAAACAATTATCGAGAAATTGCAAAGAAATATGTTAGATGGGTTAAAAATGGAAGACACGTACGGGATATTTAAAGTTTACGTCGGTAGGTAACCCAAAAAGGCGTGGCAATATTTCCCATTTCAAAGACATTTGAAAATATTCGGTTATTAGACGTCAAAGTAGGACAAACATTAAAAAGAAAATATTAGCAAATTTTTTCAATGAAATTTCCTAGAACTTTTTTAAACAAATTGTATAAAATTAACATGAAACTTTATTTTTCGTGCAATGCGCTAAATAATGAAATATATAACGTCAAATTCACTATGAGTCTCAAAACAAACTACATTTTTAAATTCAATAGTTTTTTTAGAAATCTTAATATATAAAAGGCGTGTGTAGGCGTGAGATAAGGCTGGGTTTTTGGAAATTCGAACTATAAGGGTGCGATAACTTCTAAAATTTACCAAATATGGTACCCTTTGTACTCGAACGAGAAGAGCTGGAATTCTGAAATTTGGAATGTGGGTCACTGATGGGAAGTTAGAAAGATGTGCAAAAGGATTTTTAGAAATTCGTACCTTTTCTAAATGTATATATATTGAAATATATAGCTAAAATATTGACATTTTATATGGAATACTATACTTTAGTTGAGTGTATAGAGATGAAATCCTGAAAATCGGAATTATGACTACTATTGGAGTAAAAGATCTAAAAAATGGTACTAAATTTGGTGCATGTTGGATTCAAGTGAACAGAATGAGCTGGAGCCTTCGAATTGTGAATTAAAATGACGGTTAGAGTGAAGGATTGAGGTAGTTTAGGAAATTCGTATATATATTGAACATATATAGCTAAAATATTGACATTTGTCATTATGTGTGCTAAATTTGGTACAATTTAGATTTAGATTAAAAGCTTAAAGTTCGAATGAAAGTTACAGAACTACGGTTGTATGGGCATTTCCTACTTATGGATATTAAATGGTACTAAATATGGTACAATTCGTTTTGCGTGAGTGGGAATCCTAAAATTTTGAATTAAAATAAAGGTTGGGGTGTAGAATGAGACAGTGTTAGATATTCGAACTCATTCAATATGTGGAATTGAGGATGTTTTAGAAACTCGTACTTACGTCTACGAAAACTGTTTTAAATTCGGTACAATTTGGATGTTGGTGAACGGATAGAACTGGGATCCTTAAATGTGACTTAAGGTAATTATTGGAGTGCATGATTGAGTTAGTGTTGGAAATTAGTACTTATAGGTACTAAAAGCACAAAATTACGTACAATTTGTACTTTGGTGAACGGGTAGAACTCGAATCATAAAATTTGCGATTTAAGCTACTGTGGGAGTGTAGGATTGATATAGGTTTGGAATATGGTACCAAATCTGGTATAATTTGGTTTTTGATGAACATACAGAGCTGAAAATTTTAAATCTGGACTTACAATTACTATTTGAAAGCAAGTTTGGAATATGTACGAAAAGTACGCAATGGTACCAAATATGGAAAAGTTTGGTTTTTAATGAACAAACAGAGATGAAATTCTTAAATTTGGACCTACGATTACTATTTGAAAGCAGGATTGAGGTACTATGGAAATTTGTATTTGAGAGTACGAAAAGTATTAAATTTTGTACAATTTAAACTTTGGTGGAATTAAGATTACTGTTAGAGTGTAGGATTGACAAGTACTAAATGGTACTAAATTTGGAATAATTTTGATTTGGTTGTATCCTGAGATTAGGAATGTAGATTACTATTGAAGTGTAGTATTGAGCTATGGAGACGACTTAGGAAACTCGAATTTTTGTGTACGAAATTTGAAATGTGGGTCATTAACTAAGATTTAGAAAAAAGTGCCAAAGTGTTTTTTTTCTACTAAATTTAGTGGTGGCAATATGGAGGAAGTCTTGCAAATGTGTACTTATTTGTTCGAAAAGTGCTAAATGGAACTATATGTGGAACCTGTACGTAAATATATAATTGGAATTCTTATCTATTTTAAATCTGTGTAATGGAAATAAGAAAGGGGAAAATTGTTTTTATGTGTATGAAGAGTACTATATAGTAATAAACATGATATTAGATGTAGGAATAGAGGTGGAATTCATAACTATTGTATAACAAATTATACAGTATTCACGACTTTCATATGAAATATTATTATTTTTTTGTATGCTCGGAAACTGATCGGTTTTAACCATAAAACCAGTAAGGAAAGTGGTAAAGTCGGACGGGGCCGACTATATGATACCCTTCACCACTTTGGGTAAATTCAACAGATGAATCTTAACAGACGTCGCATTTTTGATTTTCACGAAACTTAACACACATCATTCTAGACTTTATTCAGTACGCTGTACCAAATTTCGTGGAAATCGAAAGGTATACAGAGACTTCGGTACACCATTTTCCTTAAATCGGACGAAAATATATATAGGAGTTATATCTAAATCTGAACCGATTTTCACGAAACTTAGCACACATCATTCTAGGCTTAATTCAGTACGCTGTGCCAAATTTCGTGCAAATCGAGATATACTTAGGGACATTGGTGCACCATTTACCTTAAATCGGACGAAAATTTATATGGGAGCTATATATAAATCTGAACCGATTTTTATGAAACTTAGCACACACCATTCTAGGCTTAATTAAGTACGCTGTGCCAAATTTCGTGCAAATCGACAGATATATAGTGACTTTGGTGCACCATTTACCTTAAATCGGACGAAAATATATATGGGAGCTATATCTAAATCTGAACCGATTTTTCCCAATTTCAATAGGGTTCGTCCTTGGGCCAAATAAGTGACGTCTGCCAAATTTCATCCAATTCGGATAATAAATGCGACCTGTACTTTGTTTACAATTTAACATGGACAGGACGGACATGCATAAATCGACTTAAAAAGTGATTATATGCATATTCTCAAAAGGAACCATGGGTCTATCTTGATTCCTTTTGCCTGTTACAAACATATGCACAAAGACATAACACCCTGTACCACAGTGTGGTGAAGGGTATAAAAAACCAAATTACAAAGAATTTGGTTGAAAAACGCGCTCAAGAACCCCAAAATACCGAAAATTGGGGGGTACCCTTATATGGGGGTTACCCGAATAAATTGACCTATATTTATAATTTATAGTGGAGAGATTTGCTACCTAATAAGAACTCGACGTACTAAATTGCAGTCAATTCGGTCGAAAAATACGATCAGAACCCCCAAAATACCAAAAATTTGGGGGTACCGTTATATGGGGACTACCAGAAAAACTGGACTTATATTTATAATTTTTAGTGGAGTAATTTGGTACCCAATAAGAACCCAATGTACAAAATTTCAGAGAATTCAATTATAAAACGAGCTCCAGAACCCCAAAATACCGAAAATTGTGTGTACCCTTATATGGGGACTATCCGAAAAAATTGACCTATATTTATAATTTTAGTAGGGAAATTAGCTACCCAATAAGAACTCAAAGTACCAAATTTCAGCGAATTCGGTCCAAAAATGCGATCAAACCCCCCAAAATATCGAAAATTGGGGCTACCCTTATATGGGGACTATCCGAAAAAATGGACCTATATTTCTAATTTTTAGTAGGGAGATTTGCTACCCAATAAGAACTCAAAGTGCCAAATTTCAGCGAATTCAGTTAAAAAACGTGCTAAATAACCTCAAAATACCGAAAATTGGGGGGTACCCTTATATGGGAGCTATGCCTAAACGTGGACCGATTTTCTCCAATTTAAATAGGGTTCGTCCTTGGGCCAATTAAGTGACCTGTGCCAAATTTCATCCAAATCGGATCATAAATGCGACCTATACTTTTTTAACAAAAACAGGTTTGTTGAAATCGGTTCAGATTTTGATATTTCTTTCGATTTTATATAAATAGTGCACCGAAGGGTCTATGTTTGTTCGATTTACACGAAATTTGTCAGAAGGTATTAAATTGAATATAGAGTGATAACAAAAAACAAATGGTGTATGCAACGGATGCTCAATTCGGTCCATGTGTTTATATATAGCTCCCATACATAATTTTATCCGATTTTATACAAATGGTACACCAAAGAATCCAAGTCTACCCGTTTGACATGCAATTTTTCATTGATTTCAGAATGGTATGTGTAAGGGGGTTTTTCAATTGGCTCAAAAATCTATCTAGATAGCACGATAGCCCGATTCCTTCTCAATGGTCCTCCAAAGATTCTATGTCTGTTCTGTCTACAGGATATTGTAGATATTAACATTTCTTGTATGTAGCCAAAGTGGTGAAGGGTATCATATAGTCGGCCCCGTCCGACCTAATATTTGGATGCCTTTTTAGGCTTTCTCCCGACGTAAAGTTTCAATATTTCGATACACGTGCCTTCTATTTTTTTGTTTTTTTGGTACGGATATGTGTTATTCAATGAGAACTCAATGTACCAAATTACAAGTTGGAAAACCTGTCCAAAATCCCCAAAATACCGAATACCGTTAAATGGGCCTACACCAAAACGTGGACCGATTTGCAACACCAAACATTCTAGGAGTACTGCAACATTCCAGCGCTCTATTTTAAATATTGCGATCTCTATCATAACGGACATGCGTAAATCGAATTTTAGAGTAGAATTTTATTCTGATCAAGA